GGCTCCTGACAAATTTAAAGCCGTGTGGCGGCTCAAATTCAGAAGCTGTTCTTAAAACCCCCAAATTATTTTAATCCTTTTTTTTTTTTTTAAAGTGTGCTGAAGAAAAGAGTTTCTTTAATGTCGCACAGAGTTCTCTTTTACAGTAACAGTTACATTATTCCCAAAACCGCTAATGAAAGATCGCCCTGTACCCCAAAATACAGACACAGACCCTTAAAAAATCTCGTAATGCAAGTTTGTAGCTGTAACAATCCAGATGCATCTTTTAAGCTATTTTTCTCATATTACTTTTTTTTTTTTTTTTCCCAGGAAAATCAGCATGAGAGATCATAAGTATCGTCAAATAAAATAACGACTTTGAGAATGCTTAGAAAATGAACTTACTCGTGAAATGAAGAGCTTTAAAAGGAATACGTAATTCATCTATCGTTTAATTTGCCCCTACTTGTTAAGGCTGTAAGGATACCAGAAGTGAACACGAATATTGATCGCCCTTTTTTAGTGAGTGGTCAGTGAATACCGGTAGTTTTGTATAAAGCTGAAAAAGTGATTTTGCATTTTTTTCCCTCCCGTGACGAGGGAAACACAACACTAATACTTTAGAAGCGCTCCTCGGACGAGAATGAGAAAAGACTTCGCACGACTCCTTTTGACGCATTTTCTTAAAATGCATTGCCAGGGACGTAATTTTTGATAATTCTTTGTGGAAACCACCCCCCCCCCCCCCCCCTTTACATACTGTAGAATAAAGTATTTTGGATTCACTCATGAAATCGCTTTTTAAACGAAAAAAAAAAAATACTGACAAGGAACTGAGGACAGGTTATAGTAAAGACAAATATTTATTTAGAAATATCAAAAAGAAAACTTCATCTCAGAGCAATCTTATTTTTCCCGAGGTGATAAATTGGTTTCCCTTTCTTCTTTACTGTGTATTAACAACTGACAAACAGAAATCCTAAAGACCTTGAATATTCCAGATAATTATACTTAAATGGGCGAAGACTTGAACAAAAGGTAAAGAAAACGTTCTTTTGATTACAAATAGCACTTAAAGGAATTTTTAGAGGCGTACAAGATTTCCGAGGAAAAAAAAAAAAAAACCTTTTACACAAGACAACTTTGCCACTAACAGCAAAACTTAAAGCACGAGTTTGTATTGTTCTTGACAGTCTTTTAAGCGCGATTTATAATACCAATTTCGAAAAGCTTTCAAAATTGAGTAGTAAACATTTCGCCTATCCATTCAAAGTATCACAGCTCTTCTTAAGACAAAATGGGTGGCTCTTAGAAGAGCCTTTGGGTTGTCGAGATCGTCAGTCCGCGGAGCGAAAAGGCTTTAGCCGCCGAAGCCGTAGAGGGTGCGTCCCTGGCGCTTGAGAGCGTAGACCACGTCCATGGCCGTGACCGTCTTCCTCTTGGCGTGCTCCGTGTAGGTGACGGCGTCGCGGATCACGTTCTCCAGGAAGACCTTCAGCACGCCGCGCGTCTCCTCGTAGATGAGCCCCGAGATGCGCTTCACGCCGCCGCGCCGAGCCAGGCGGCGGATGGCCGGCTTGGTGATGCCCTGGATGTTGTCGCGCAGCACCTTGCGGTGCCGCTTGGCGCCCCCCTTGCCGAGCCCCTTCCCGCCCTTGCCTCTGCCAGACATGGTCGCGCTCCCCGCAGCCCTGCACTGCACGCCGGCGGGGCGGCGGAGCCGCGGTATATGGCGCGGGAGCCGACCTGGTTGAGGACTGCGGCGGGAGGCGGGCGCTCGCCCGCAGGCTCGCCTGCTCTCCCCGCTTTCCCTATCGCGCTCCCCGCTCTCGCACAAAAATGCGTGTTTCGGGCGAGTTTCCCTTCCCGCGGCACATGCGGTTCCGTGTTGCTGCCCTTTCTCGCTACGTTCGGGGTTTTTTTCCGTGATTTTTTTTTTTCATATGGCAAAGGCATTGGTCCTTTCTGTACAATAGTTTATATATATTTTTAAAGTCTTTGATACGTCGTGATCATTCAGAAATTAAACCTCGAGCATAGAAAAGTATCCCACTTACTGAATCTCCTAAATTACTCTCTGATATTTTACTGTCATTATTATTTTAAAATATGGATATATGTTATGAATTGCACTTTCAGCTGGTTGCATTGATTCTCACGTTTGGCTTCAGTGTTTTAAACCGCTCT